TTTTATGCCTTTTTAGCTCTCACTCTCTGTGTTCTGCTGTCTTAGTTCTAAAATTCGTAGGCAGACTCATTCTCTTCGCTATCCCTTAGGATGGATGCACATTCAGTGTTCCAGGCTTTCTTCCATTGTCTGCTAACACTGTTCTCCAGGAAGGTGCATGGGGTGTGAAATTCTGGCTTCTTCAGAGATCTCTAACTTTTTTTAAAAAAGATTTTATTTATTTATTTGACAGACAGAGATCACAAGTAGGCAGAGAGTCAGGCAGAGAGACAGGAGGAAGCAGGCTCCCTGCTGAGCAGAGAGCCCAATGTGGGGCTCGATCCCAGGATCCTGGGATCATGACCTGAGCTGAAGGCAGAGGCTTTAACCCCTGAGCCACCCAGGCACCCCAGAGATCTCTAATTTTTAGTGCTGATCACCAAACATCCTAGATTATGTTAATTCCTATTACCATTCATTCAAAAGAAATTCCATGAGCCAGCTTTTTTTTTTTTTTTTTTTTTTTAATGGGAATCTCCCAGGAAAGAGATTCTGCCTCCTTTTACCCTTGCAGAAGTAGGCCCATGTTTTTTATATGACCGTGTTTGAGTAGGAGCATGTTGAAGTTGTGAAGATTTTGGTAGCAACGCAAAACATGGACTAGAACTTTAATACAGGGGTTCTCAGAATATGGTTCCCAGAGCAGGGGCGTTATCTTCTGGGAACTTGTTAGAAATGCCAATTCTCAGTCCCACCCAAGCCTACGAAATCAGAAACTTTGTGACTGGGGTCCAGTGATTTGTGTTTTAACAAGCCCACTAGGGGAGTCTGAACAGCACCCTGCTTCAGAGGGTGCTTAAATAGGAACTTGGGCTCCTGTTATGGACCTGACTTACTGTACTTTAAGAAAGGGACTTAAGACATGAGGGATGGCTGGCTAGCAGGGCTATTTGTTGACATTGCTTCATCATTAATGACATGAGAAAGGTGTACTTTTACGCTTTTCTTTGTGGGGCATTGTAATAGACAAACCTTTAACTTTTGGAGGCCCCTTCAGTTTCCTTTGTTGGTTATGACCAACAGTAGGAAACAGAATGCCGTAAATCCTTGTTTCCAGGGTTACCTCTTGCTGCTGATAACAGGCAGGAAATTAAAGCAATCTGTGATAGTGTTTTGTTCTTATTAGCCACAGATGGTAGCTTTCAGATACGTTGGAGCAAAACATAAATAAATATAGCAGGGAAACTTCATTATTGAAGAAAAATGATTTGGCTAGGTCAAGTTTATAGTCTGGGTCCACTTTTATGAAATGGAATATAGGCAACATTATATTGCTCCATTACCACAAAGCATTGAGACATACGAGGGTCACTAGTTGTTTTTTTTTTTTCCCTCCTTTTGATTTAATTTTCAGTATGTAAAACATTTACATGATTTCAAAGTCAACCGAGTGACAAATTATGTTTAAAGATGTCTCCCTTCTATCCATATCTCTTATCTCCTGTTTCCTTTGTCCTTTGGGGTCATCATTTTTATTAGCTTTTTGATTTATTCTTCCAGTGTTTCTTTTAAAGATAAGCATGTAAATGTATTTATGTTCATATCTCCCCCTTTCCACTTTCTTTACACAAAAGGTTGCAGGTTATTCTACAATCTTTTAAGATTATCTTAAAAAGCTCACTCCGTTAAGGGCTACCTTAAGTTCAGTAAAATTCACCAACGTGGTGTGTACAATGTGAATTTTTACGAATGCGCGCAGTTGCACAACCACCTGAAGGTATAGACTCTTTCCAGAGCCCCAAAAAGTTTCATTCCACCATTTTGCAGTCATTCCCATCTCCCACCCCTCTTGTCCCTGGTAAGTCATCTGTCTGCTCTCTCTCTTTATACTTCTCTTTCCTAGAATTTCATACATAGTTTTTTGTATGTATGTGTATGACTTCTTCCATGTTGTATAATTCTTTGGAGATTCAGCCATATTAGTACAGATATTAGTAGCTGTTCCACTTTATTGCTGGGTATTGCTCTATTGTTTTTATATTCCACTTGGTGGACATTGTCCTGTTGCTTTTTTTTTTTTTTTACTTTTTTATTTTGAAATACTATTTTGAAATAATATTAGATGTCTAGAATACTTACAAAGATAGTACAGAAAGCCTCTATACGCCCTTGCCCCAGCTTCCTCCCATGTTAACATCTCATATGGCTCATGGTGCAGTTATCATCCCTTAAGAAATTAATATTGGTACAATACTATTAACTAAGCTACAGGCTTTCTGTGGATCTTAGTTTTTCCATTGTGTTTAGTTTTCATGTTTCTTTAGTCTCCTCTAATCCATGGCACTTCTTCAAACTTCCCATGTCTTTTTATTTTTTTATTTTTATTTTTTTAAAAGATTTTATTTATTTATTTGACAGACAGAGATCACAAGTAGGCAGAGAGGCAGGCAGAGAGAGGGGAAGGGAAGCAGGCTCCCTGCTGAGCAAAGAGCCCGATGCGGGGCTCGATCCCAGGACCCTGAGATCATGATCTGAGCTGAAAACAGAGGCTTAACCCACTGAGCCCCCCCAGGCACTCCTCCATGTCTTTTTAAAAGAGTACCTGTTGGGGTGCCTGGGTGGCTCAGTGGGTTAAAGCCTCTGTTTTCAGTTCAGATCATGATCCCAGGGTCCTGGGATGGAGCCCTGCATCGGGCTCTCTGCTCAGCGGGGAGCCTGCTTCCCTCTCTCTCTCTGCCTGCCTCTCTGCCTGCTTGTGATCTCTGTCTGTCAAATAAATAAATAAAATCTTAAAGAGTACCTGTTGAAGTATTTTGCAGAATGTCCCTCAATTTGTCCAGTGATTGGACAAAAGTTACACACTTTGGGGAAGGACACCATAGAGGTGATGTGCATTTCTCATTGGATTATACCAGGAGCTACATGGTATCGATATGTCTTATTCCTGGTGAAGTTAACCTGGATCACTTGGATAAAGTGGTGTTTGCCATGTTTCCTCACTGCAGTTAATAGCTTTCCTTTTCTATGGTCTGTCTCTTAGAAGAAAATTATTACTTTTTAAATTCTGATATGTGTTCGTGTGCACGGGACACATAGTTTAGTGACTCTCTCAACCTTACTTATGATAATAGTAATAACAACAGCTACCTCTCACTCCACACTTCTAAACACATATGGGTTATCTCAGTTAATCCTTGGGATACCCCTGAAAAATGTAGGCACTATTTTCATGTCCAATTTACAGCTTAGAAGATTGAGGCATAAGTACTTTGCTGAGGGTCCAGCAGCTGGTTAGTGATGGACCCAGATGTTAACTTAGCCTAACTCGAGGACCAGATTTTAACAAGGGCCATATGGTTGTTGTCAGAGCTTAGAAATGGGGATGCCCTCATTCTCTGCCAGAGAAAACAAATAAATGCTGCTTTTTGATAATTCTCTTTTGTTCTTTAAGAAAAGAACTTTGTTTCCCTTTCAGGACCTTTTCTTAGGTGACTAAAGATTTTAATAAGCTATGCCTGACAGTAATCTTACTTTAAAATCTTAGAGAAATCCAGGATACTTCAGGGAGCACTTGGGGACTTCTTTCAGAATTATGACTGAAGTTTAGGGCAGAGTATTCAGTATAGAAAGCTGATTGTGGAGAAGTATTGACTTCAAGAATGAACTTTTCGGGACGCCTGGGTGGCTCAGTTGGTTAAGCCGCTGCCTGCAGCTGAGGTCATGATCCCAGAGTCCTGGGATCGAGTCCCACATTGGGCTCCTTGCTCAGTGGGGAGCCTGCTTCTCTCTTGGCCTCTGCCTGCCGCTCTGCCTGCTCTGCTCTCTCTCTCTCTGACAAATAAATAAATAAATAAAATCTTAAAAAAAAAAAAAAAAAGAATGAACTTTTCTTCCCTGGATTTTATCAGCCTCTGCTACCAGGAGTGCGGTGTTTGTCTGTGGCTATCTAAACCCTGCATGTTCACTTTCCTTGACCGCACTAATGACTTTTCCACTACACAATCACATGTATCTCGGAATAGCCTGACTCAGGGGATGATAATGGTAGTTAAACGATGACTCAATATCTGTGAGCCTCTATTCTAGTAGCAGCGGAGCCGCTGAAGGTCAGGCTGTGTGGGTGGACGTTTGCGCTTCTTCCCTGTGACTCACTCTGCAGCCTGCCTTTCTGAGGGGAAGTAACGGTAGGTCACTGCACACTGCTGCGCGTCACTTCCCTGCTCTGTCTCGTCGTACTGTGTAGATGGGTATCCCCAAATCCTTGAAATCACACAGCTTGGAGTCTTAAATGTGTGTAGGCTGCCAAGATGTCCAGATGCCAGTGTGCTTTTTAAAAATAAAGCTTTTTTGTTTCTAAATGTCTGTCATATGCCTGGCCATATGTACCAGAATCCGGAGGTCAAAAGCCAGTCTGGACAGGCATATACATAAAAATTGTAGCATTTATTTCTTTAGGGAAGAAGGCAACTGTTTAAGTCTGATGCTTGCATACAGTAACTAGAAAATTCTGTAAGAGTAGATGATTATTTAGGGGATAGATAACATATCAAGTTTATGGGTATCTAGATCTGGCTTAGAGTCAGATGGCTGAGGACCTCTGGCCTCAGAAGTCAGATATGGTTTTCTACACATCTATTATAGAGAAAGTGTTAGGTACAAGAAAATGTAAGGAAGAAAGTGAAAGCAACTCATTTCCATCACCAGAAATAGCCACTCTTTTGTTTTGCATAATTTCTCCCTTTCTCCTTCTGTCATGCAGCAAACACATTTGTTTGTAATCCTGCATTTGTTATGTAATACTATATCCTTAGGATTTTTCTCATCATTTAAAAAAAAAGACTTTGCTAATTTGGTGGGAGAAAAATAAGTAGTTTTAATTTGTATTCCCTTAATATTTTAGTTAGGATTAATGTTGTGTCTTTGTTGACTGTCTATATTTATCCATGGAGATTGTTACTTTTTCTACTCCATATCTTTCTATAAAATCAGAAATGTTACTAACGCAAAACTCTTGATTTCAGATGTCCTAAATGATGCTATATTTGATGAAGATCACGATGAGATGGTGATTGTGAAGGACATAGATATGTTTTCCATGTGCGAGCATCATCTAGTTCCATTTGTTGGAAAGGTAAGGTTGTCTCTGTTTCCTAGTAATTTTAAAAAGCACATTAAAGTTTTAAAATTAGGATTATTATATTTAAAATCATTACCTGTTAATTCCTAATATCCCAGGTATGTAGAGTTACACAAAAACATTTACTCTTTATCAACTTGACTAATCTAATAGTTTGAAGCTAACCAAACGAGGGGCACCTGTGTGGCTCATTTGGTTAAGCACCTGCCTTTGGCTCAGGTCATGACCCCTGCATCCTGGGATCAAGCCCCATATCGGGGAGCCTGTTTCTTCCTCTCCCTCTGCCTGCCACTCCTGCTTGTGCTTGGTCAAATAAATAAATAAAATCTTGGGGAAAAAAAAAACTAACAAAAACAAAGTAGCAGAAAGTCCTCAGGACAAACATTTCATAGTAAATACCATGTTAATAGGTTAAAATAATGAGATTAAAGTTTCATTTTCTTTTCCTAGGTAGTTGCTACAGGCTCTGAAAACCTTTGCTCTTTATTTTGACTAAATAGTGTTTGATCCAAGATTTACTTTGGTATAATACGGCATGAGCAGCAATGATTGCAGAATTTCTTGTGGTAGAGGTCATAGTATTAGTGGATTTAATTTGTTTTCAACCTTGTCTGTATTAGGAAAAATGAATCTAATGTAAACTAGATAATGTTATCTAGCTTGTTTTACTTAAACATCTCTTTGAAAACATGTGGATTTAAGACGAAGAGTAGTGCTGTCCTTACCCCCATTATAATTTTATTTTATTTTGACTTTTTATTAATAGTTTTTAAACAGAAGACTTACAGGAAATAGTGTTACGAGTACGTATATACCCATCACCTAAATTTAATATGTTAACATTTGTGTCATTTTTTTTGTTAAAAGTATTTTATTTTCTCACTTTAATAAAGTGAAACATAGAAAAATGCACAAATTATAAAGTTATTCCTTACTTCTTCACAGGTGGAGAACTAGAATATTATTACTATCCTGCAGGGTCATTTTGTGCCCTTTTTAGTCCCTAACCCATCCTTTGTCCCCATGGGTAACCCGTATATCAATTTCAAACACTATAGTGTTTTGCTTGTTTTTCAACTCATAAATGGTAAGAATCTATAGCATGAAATCTTTTGTGTCTGGCTTTTTTTTGGTTGTTGTTGTTCCACATTGCAAAAGTCACTGATATTATTACCTGTCATTGTAGCTTATTTTCATTGCTATATATTATTTCATTGTACAAACATATCACAATTTACTCTGTTCTTGATAGATATTTACATTGTCCCCTTTTTCTCTCTCTCTGTCTCTCTCTCTCCTATTACAAACAATACTGATATCAGCATTCTTTGAGTGTATATGTGCACGCATTTCTGTTAGGAATATACCTAGGAGTAGACTGACAGGGTCATGGATATATGCATATCCAATTTAATAAATACTGATCTTGAGTTTTCCAAAGTAGTTGTACCACTTTAGACTTCATGTACTCTAAGGTGAGTCTCAGTCACTTGACATCCTTGCCAACACTTGGCACTTTCAGTCTTTTTAAGTTTAATATTTTCATACAGATGTAGTGGTATCTCTCTTTTTTAAACCTCTTATAACAGAAAAGTTCAAACATATGTAAGAATGGAAAGACTAGTATGATAAAGTTCCATGTTTCCTAAAACCAACTTCAATAGTTATCGATAAAGGACCAGTCTTGTTATATATAAGTTCCCACTGGACTATTTTGGAGAAAATCCTAGATATGATATTGTTTTTTTCCATATCTTCTTCTAGTATGTGTCTGTAAAAGATAAGGATTTTTAAGGAAATGTAACTCTGATCTGACTATCAGTCTGAAAAGTTAGCAGTAAATTTTTCAACATATAACAGAATATAAAGTATGTTGTAGACAGCATGACTCCTCATCACTAATTATTAGTACACATTTCTTTTTTTTTTTAAGATTTTTTAATTTATTTGACAGAGATCACAAGTAGGCAGAGAGGCAGGCAGAGAGAGAGGAAGGGAAGCAGGCTCCCTGCTGAGCAGAGAGCCCGATGTGGGGCTCAATCCCAGGACCCTGGGATCATGACCTGAGCCGAAGGCAGAGGCTTTAACCCACTTTAACCCACTGAGCCACCCAGGCGCCCCCACATTTCTTTTTTTTAATTATTAATACACATTTCTAAAATATTTTCTTATCCACAGTAGCACTACCATAAATAAAAGTAATTCCTAAATAGCATCTAGTCACTAACCCTTATATTTACCTTTCTACAGTTGTCTCAACTGTCTTACTGTTGGTTTGTTTAAACCAGAATCCAAGGGCACCTGGCTGGTTCAGCTCATTAGAGCATGTGACTCTTGATCTCAGGGTTGTGAGTTTCAGCCCCATGTTGAGTATAGAAATTACTTAAAAAAATAAATAAATAAACCAGAATCCAAATAAGAGTCACACATTTGTATTGCTTTGGGTTGTTACGCTTCTTAAGTCTCTTATTCTAAAATAGTTCCCCCCTCCCACATCCACATTCTCTTACTGAAGGGACAGGGCTGGTTGTCTTGTAGAGTGTCCTGCCTTCTGGATTTCTTCCATTCAACCTCTGGATTTCCCATAAACTAGACTAGATCCAAAACTTCCTAAGATTAAGGCTAAACATTTTTGATAGGAGTAGTTCATGGGGTTGCTGAAGGCTCTGTATTTCATCTCATCAAGAGGTATGCACTGATTGGCAATCCCACAATTAATCATGCCAGCCATGTGACATCAGGGCTTAGGTTTTTCAAGGAGGGCACCTTTGAGCTTATCTTATTACCTTTTATTACCTTTTATTACCTTTTATTGTAAATGGGGAATTTAGGCCCAGAAAGCCTATGACTTGTCCGAGAGGACAGAGGGAGTTAGTGATTTGGTTGGGGCTAGACCTAGGACTTGGTCTACGCTCATTCTCTCACCACTATATCCTGTTACCTTCTGCTATGATTATCTCTATGTTTGTGTTCTTGTTAACTTTTAAAAAAATATATTATTCAGTGAGGATTTTCTATAATCGACATTTAAGTGACTTAGGATCTTCAGAAAGATAAAAAATAGTACAAGCAATAAAGGATGGCTTTGTATAGAAGTATAAAAATTTCAAGTTAGTACAGAAGCTCTAAGTTCTGTGAGAAAGTTTTAACTCTTTTTTTCTTTGAAATACCTGGTGTTGAGGTGCTACTTTATTTTCCCCTTCTGCTGACCAGGAAGGTGATGAATTACTATTCTCAAACTCCCAAAGCAAGGTGCTAATAGATGAAAAGTTACTAATAACTACTAGATCGATTATTCACATATATAATAAATATTAGCTGAAGAAATGCAACAAATGCTGGCAAACCATGATGCAAATGAATCTGTGATTTTATATTAGGCTAATTGATAGCCTACAAATGACCATTTACTTTACTAGGTTTTTTAGAACTAATGATTTCTTATAATTGATACATGGCTCAAAGAGAGGTAACATGGACATAGGAGATACTAGTTAGTGACATTTAATATTACAGAATTGGCTTGGCGTTAGGTCTTAAGGTCCAGGTCTTGATGAGTCACATTTGTATCTGTGTCCTTTATCTCCCATCAGGAAGATAGTGTTCTCCAGTGTTCTCCAGCAGCTTGGAAATGAGGCCACCAAGCATGACAGAGAGCATGGAGACCCTCTTTCTGTGCAACAGGGTGGGATTTTTAAGGTGGAATGGCAATATTTATAGTTACAGTTTCAGCCATTTAAAGGAAGCTTTCCTGGGGTTCCTGAGTGGCTTAGTCAGTGAGAGACCAACTCTTGATTTTGGCTCAGGTCATGATCTCAGGGTTGTGGAATCGAGCCCCGTGTCTGGCTCCACGCTCACCACGGAGTCTGCTGGAGATTCTCTCTCTTCCTCTTCCTCTGCCCCTCCCCCTGCTCATACTCTCTCTCTCTGTCTCTCTCAAAATAAATAACATCTTTAAAAAAAAATGAAGGATGCTTTCCTGGCTATATTTTAATGTTGTTACAGGATACTAGAGTGTGTCCCCTCAATGGAAGAAGGACTTGAAGAACTATATGAAGAGTTTAACTTCACCAGGAAATACCATGACTGTATTTCAAATTTGCCATTTCATTAACATTCATGTATATTTTTCTTTTACTGCATATATGTAATTTTCTAAATGCTTTTGTAAGTTCTTCATTTTCTAAGTCAATATAGATATCTTAAGGATACATTTGCGTTGTGTTGAATTACATAGTGCATATACTGTATTATGTTTCCTTATTTCCTTATTTTGTTACAAAGAAGCATTGGATTTTCAGTCATGATTTCTCTCTCTTCTTTGAAGGTCCATATTGGTTATCTTCCCAACAAGCAAGTTCTTGGCCTCAGCAAACTTGCGAGGTAAGTATGACTGTGTGGTGAACAGGAAAACAGATTTGTAGGACCTGTCCCTATATGGCAAGAATCTCATAAGGCTTTCCTGACTGGTGTGGCTCTAACCTGGAAGTCACATTGCTACTTAAAATTTATGGTTGCAGAGACAAACATATTTGGAGGACCTGAAACACAAATCCCTTTTCTTTTCAGCCCTCCCTGCCTTCCTCCCCCACCTCCCACCCCTCTTCCACCAACACATCCTTAAAAAGTCTTAGCTCATACCTTTCTCTGCAGGACCTTTCTTGACTGGAAAGGATCCAAGGGTACTTTCAGTCCAGCCCCCATATTTAAGGGTGGTTTAGCTAGCAGGTGGGAAAAGGAAATCTGTGCAGGGATCTAATTGCACTACCCTGTTTTCAGACTTTTAATCAGACTACTACTGGGGTCTCAGTCCTGTCTTCCACTGCATCTGGGTGTCTCCAGGCATCTCTTGGGGGGTCCTGCAGGGCCATTCATTCACTTCTGGTTTCTTTACCTCTGCAGACACACGACTGTGCTGTGCCTTTCTTGGCTTTCTCAGCAATATTCCAAAACAATACTTACTCTCCTATTTCTTTCTTTTCTACTACAGTCTCCTTTTTCATTCTTTATCCTGTGGGTTCATGCCTTTTAAAAACTTCCTTTGCTCCTATTTTTATTTCAGCCTTAGGAAGGAGAAGTAATGGATAAGTACGGTCATCTGTGTTTGAGTGGAGATCAGCTTGAGGATCAGTGTTCGTATATCTCTGCTAGGTTCAGTCACCAATTCTTTATTGCCCCTAAATGTTCTTTTTTGTAATTTTTTTGTATGGAGTTGGTGAGTCCTAGGTATGGGCAAATGTTGGGAGGTATGTGTGTATGTGTGGAGGGAATTAAGAACAAAATGAGTGAGAGGTGCCTGGGTGGCTCATTTGGTTAAGTGTCTGCCTTCAGCTCAGGTCCTGATCCCAGGGTCCTAAGATCAAGCCCCACCTCAGGCTCTCTGCTCAGCGGGGAGCCTACTTCTCCCTCTCGCTCCCTCTGCTTGTGCTCTGTCTCTCACGTGTACTCTCACTCACTTTCTCAAATCAATAAATAAAATCTTAAAGAAAAATAAAATGTTAAAGAAAAAAGAACAAAATGAGGGAACAGGTGATGAAAATATAGTCAAGTGCCCCTTGCCCCTTAAAATAAACCAAGCGAGGTGTGGATAATTTGAGGGTGTAGTGACTGTATCAAAATTGGAATAAATGAGTCTTGGTGACTGGCTAACTATCCTATGGCTCTGATGGGTTCCTGCTTCTTCACTTAGACATTAGGGTACACTACAGTCCTGAAATGGTGGTTCAGATCTTTTTCAGTTTTGTATTGGAATCTGTAAAAACCACCCTGCCAATCTGACAGCTGCTCTCCACAGCTTTTCTTTTTACTTTGTTTTCACTTCCGCTTTCTCACTCATTTCCTCTATGAATTAATGAGAGAGTAGGTAGAAGAGAGCCATTTAAGTTCCCTAGTTTCTGACCTCATGCCTGCTCAGCACTTTCTCCATCAGACAGGGCTACTTGGTACCATGAAAAGATGTTTTTATATCATGGTTGTAATTGCTGCACTGAAGAAAGGCTCTTTACACAAATACAGAAACATCTTGCCGCTTTTCAGTGATCTGTACCCAGTGGCAGCGCCAAGGGGTGGCTGAAAAAGGGTATTGGTGGTGATGGGGGGAAATAATCCCACTCTAATTTCTATTAGCAACCCCCTCCCTAGCAACTCCTAAATAATAAATAAGGTCATGTCAACAGTGAATGGAAGCGTCTTTACTAAAATTGGTTATTCTTACTGTTTTATAAGACAGAGTCTAAGTGAAGTCAGTGTGGTTGCTGTGTAAACCTAGCTCCAGGCCCAGCCCCAGCCCCAGCCCCATGGCATGCTTCTTTCCTGCAAGATTGCTAACCCTCTGCCTTTCCTATGTAGAAATTCTGGCACTGCTGATGCTTTTAACACACTGTCCATATGAGAGAGTAGGTTGTGGATAGTTTCCAGATTATAAGGAAGCTTGATAGACCATATTAGGCCTTGGTCTTAATATAAGTAGCCTTCTCTACAAGACCACGCTGTGTAGACCATGGGTAATACTTTATGGAATTGGATTCTTGAGTAATCCAGTGAGACCTTGGAATAAATGGTAATTTAGAGGTAGAAAGGAATAATCTTTGGTTACTTCCTTTCCTAGGGAAATGGAAAGATCTCCAATAATTAAGCTTTTATGAAACAATACAAAGGAGTTGATTATTAGCATAGGGATTTGTCCTTATGCCAATGGGATTAAAACTTAAAAAAAGGAACACTAAACCAAAGAACAGAGTGTATGTTACTTTCAGATATTTGTAAAAAAAAATTGACTGAAGGGTCTATTAAACAGGAAAGGAGGCAAAGATTTTATCCAACTGCTTATTTCTTATAAGAAGTAGGAATATTTAGGAAATGAAGAGTAATAAAGAAAGCTGGATGTCTTAGCAAAACTTCACTGCTCATTTTAATCTTGTATGTGAAGTCTGTTATATGCTTGCCTTTAAACGAATGACCTTTCAGTGCCAGGGAAGTCAAATATCAAACAGTAAAGCCTTAAGTAACAAGAAAATGCCAGAAGTGAGTTGATCTGGTTTAACTCTAGTAGAAGTCCAGAGTAAATGCAGTTTGAATAGAAATTCCTTTTGTTGGGGTCCCTGGCTGGCTCAGTTGGAGGAGCATGTGACTCTTGATCTCGGTATCATGAGTTCGATCGATCCCTGTGTTGGGTATAGAGATTACTTAAATAAATCTTTTAAAAAATAAAATAAAATCTTATTTTTAAGAAAAAAATCCTTTTGTTACTGAAAATCCATTGAATATATCTTCCTTTTCTTGCCTTAGAATAACTGAGTGAACATAATTAAATCTTGAATATAGAACTGAAGTGCCTCAGGGTAGCCATGGTTCATCTACCAATTGAGCATCTACTGTGAAAGGATATTGTGGCAGCTACGATGACTGCTAGAGAGGACACAGCCACTGTCTTCTAGGAGGGTGGACAGTACGAGGCAGCAGGTACCACTGAGATTCCTGGTTTGAAGCTTCAAGTTCAGAGGAGCTAAGACGACTGTGGTGTGGCAGGGTTGAAGAGACTGAGAGGTGGAAGACAGCAGAATTCTAAATGGAAGAGAAATTCCTTTAGGTTAATACATAATAAGCAAAAGCAAATAAGAGGGTAGGCACAAGGCATATTCCAGTGAATGGGGAGCCGATTAATTGATAGAACTAAGAGATTTAGACAGGGATGAATGTAAGATAGTTGGAAAGATAGGGTGGGTATTAGATTACAAGAACATTATTTTTTCCTCTTTTATTATAAATGTAACATACTTACCAATTAAGCTTAAATACGAATGAGTGAGTAAAGGGAAAGCCTTCCTTTCTATTTCTATTCCCCATAGTTAAAACTAGAGATTTCTTGTCTCTTGACTGGAGATTGTCCTTCTGGAAAATTTCTTTGCAAGCACAAACATGGAGCTTTTTAAAATTAGCGAAACTAAACAGCAAAACAGGGAGCTCATACCCACATTCTGTACTACAGCCTTATGTTTTTTGTTTTTTAATTTTTAATTTTTTAAAAATAATTCCATCATGGGGCTCAGACTCACATCCCAAGATCAAGAGTCACATGCCGGTGCCCCTAGTTTGTTTTTTTAATTAAAAAACTTTGAAATCCCTTGGTTTTAGTCCCAAAAGTCTGAGTCCATTTTAATGACCACATATATCTCTTTAATTGTTCAATATAATTCATTTAGCCAGTCTTTGATAGAAATATACTTTATACTTTGAGACTATTGTCAGAAAAGGTGAAAATACTTTCATGAACATGTTTTGCATATTGTAAATTATGGAAATTAAATTGCTGGGTTCAGGGTAGCTGAATTTTTGATGTTGTCAAATTGCTCTACAAAGAAAAGCATATCTGTTTATATGGTCAACTGGTGTTTGTTTCTCCACTTCTGCCAACACTGGGTTTCATCACACTTTTCAGTCTTTGCTAAACTGATAAGTGGAAAGGGGTACCTCGTGTTTTAATGCACATTTTTAAAACTTGCATTTCTTTAATAGAATTTGAATCTTTATAGAAGCTTCCTGCTTTTAATTAACCTTTGCTAATTTTCCCATTGTACTGCTTGTCTTTTTATTACTGATTTGTATGAGGTCTTTGAATGTTAAACCAGTTAGGCAGGTGCTGCAAATAATTTTTCCAGGCTTGTCATTTGTCTTCTGGTTTTGTTTTAAAATATCATTTTTCCACAAAGAAGTTTTAAAACTTTTATGTAGTCATAAACTCATGTTTTTGGTTTATTTTTATGGCCTTATTTTTATATTTAAATCTTCATTCCATCTGGAATGCATTTGGTGCAAGGAGTGGGGAGGAATCCATCCCTTGCCATTGTATCCTCACTGACCTCCTGCAGCACCCCAATTTCCTTCCTGTTACCATGCTGCCTTCTCACTATCCTTGCAGCCACTCTCTGTTGGGCCTTACTTATGTTCTTTCTGGATTATAAAACTCTTGAACTCCTCTTTGACTCTAATCTCTCAGTGTCTTTAAACCTGCTCTCGTACATTGCTAGGATGTACTTTCCAAAGTGTGGATTTGATACTGCTGCTCCTTTGTAGCTCCCCATACCTTTTAAGATAAAGTTCAAACTCCTTACTTTAGCCGACAAGTCCCACTGTGATCCACCTCTACTTCCTGCTGCGTTTTGCTCTTTGCTGTGACCATAGTTGAGAGTTTGCAGCTTGGTGACAAGTCAAGTTATATGAAGACATCAAAAATACCATTAAGATTTGCAAGGGTTAAATTATACCATCCACCTGCAAAGGAATTACCACATTACTTTTCTAGCTCCCGGAGGAGGAAGAAGAGGAGAGGAAGCATAATGCAATACAGGAAACAGAGGACCTAGCATAGATTTTATAAGACCAAT